GACGAGAACGGGGAGCCCGATAGCAGGCACCCGTGCCTGTTCCTCATCATAGAGGACAAGCCCCGGTGGACCGTCAGCACAACGCCAATCTTCATTGGCTACCACGAATAACTGGTACCACCCACAGTGCCTCACAGTGCGACATCTCTAATTTATTTGGCTTTGCAGTAAGGTTCTATGCGGGCCACCCGTGCTCTCCAGCGTGCCGTGCACTGACGTGCCTCTGCCGTTTTGCGGTCAGCCTATCTTCCACCCGCCCTTGGCCCAACAACTCCACATCCATCATCCCCCTCCCCTCTCAACACCCACCAACTCGCGCTGTACCTTTCACAAACAAAAACAACGAGTTTCTCTCAACTTATCCTCATGCACACTCTCGCCGTCCTGCTCCACTTCCAACGTCTCGATTTTTACTGTCGGCTCCCTCTCCAGGAACTTGCTCGCCTTGGCCTCGTCGCACCGCCTCGACCCGCCTGCAGGGACAAACCGGAGCGAGAAGCTTTGGCTGGACGCCTTTTTTCGAAATTCCTCGCCCATCCGTTTTTCCAGTGTGGTGCGGAGCGGGACCTACACGGGCACCAACAACTACAACCTGACGGTGGGCTCGTCCAACGTAGTGCTGCGCTCGGAGAGCGGCGACCCGGCCACGACGGTGATCAACTGCGCGCGCCAGGGTCCCGGCCTGATCGTCTCGTCGAGCACCTTCACCATGCAGGGTTTCACCATCCGCAACTGCGAGGCCGAGAACGGCGGCGGCATGCACATCTCCTCCACCTACACCGTACGCCCTTCCTTTTGCCACCTTTTTTTTTGCACATCGTCTGCTTCATCTTCTTCATCTTCCTCATCTTGTAAAACCTGTGTTTACACATTCTCTTTGCTCTAAAGGTGCTGCGCAACATCAAGTTCATCGGCAACCACGCCACGAAGAACGGCGGGTCGCTGTGGATCAAGAGCAACGCCGTCGAGGCCTACAACAGCACCATCAGCGCCAGCACGAGCGACAACTACGGCGGTGGCGTCTACATAGAGTCGGCCAACCTGAAGCTCTTCGGCTCGCACGTTGAGTACAACAGCGCCGACGAGGCCGGCAACCAGCTCTACTGCCAGTCGGCCGCGGTCCAGATCGATCGCGAGTCGACCATCGACCGCGCAGTGTCGGCCGAGTGCGATCGATGCTCCATCACCTACATGAACGGCGGCGGCACGCTGTCGTGCTCTCCCGCGGGCTCGCGCGTGGGCGGCTCTTCGGCCCTGCTGGCCGCCATCCACGGCCTTGTGGCCTCGCTGTGGTGATTGATGATCGATCACATTGCTGCCTGTATATACAAACCTTGTTAAACAACGTGTTATCGCAACAACATCGCCACGGCCGTACACGACGGTGGTCGCCTACGCAGGGGAGAGGCCTCGTGTGCGATCACTGGACCTCCTTGACTTCGTAGAGGTCGTGCCTCTTTTGCAGGGAGACGGGTATCATCTGCCTGACCTCGTCCACTTTGTCCAGGTGGATGTCGGCGTAGGTGATCGCTTCGTCGTGCTCGGTGGTGGCCACGATCGTTCCCCTGGGGTAGACGATTAATTTGTCATCAGACGACGTCAGGTTGTTGACGGCCCGACACTTGGTACTCCTGCTGGCGCAAGGCTGGCACGTACCAGGGATCAACGACCGTCGAGTGTCCCCAGGCCTGGTACTTGGAATCAGGGATTGCGAGCGGGCGACACTGTCGCGACATACACCTGCAAACGGTGCCGGAGTGAGTGAGAGAAAGAGAGAAAGAGAGAGAAAGAGCGCGCGATGGGCTTAAACAAACCTGGTTGTCCACGGCCCGCGCGCGCTGGAGCAGCTCCCAGTGAGCCGGCCCAGTGGTGGTGTTAAAGGCTCCCGGATAGACCAAGAGCTTCACTCCTTGGGGGGGGGGAGTAAAGTGTGAGTGCCATGTATGGCGATCATGCGAACTGCACCAACTCGAGAAGCGCGAGAATGAAGGCGCACCGCGCTTGGTCAGCACTTGCGCCATCTCGGGGAAGCGCATGTCGTAGCAAATGCCCAGACCCACATCACACCACTCTGATCAAAGTAACGTAGCAATGAACGGGGTCAGCACAACTTGAGCCTTGAGTAGAGCTGAAGAAAAGCCACGTGATGGGTTCCTGTTGTAAAGGAGGTGATGTCGCCTCCGGGTGAAAGCGTATCTGATTCCCTGCCCAGCGAACAAGCAAGGTGTGAGTGACTGCACAGGAGCCGCACGACGTTGCGCAAAGAGCGATTGCATTGCGACGTACTTGAACGTCATGCCGGGCCTTCCTTCGCCAGGCGGCACGCTGATGTCGAAGAGGTGCACCTGCAAGAAGGATTCATTGTTGAGAGGAGGCTTGAGCAAGCGCTTCGGGGAGAGGGACCACCACCTTTCGGTGCTTGGCGATGAGGTTTCCCTGCGGGTCGTACACGACGCTCGTATTGTACAACTTATCGCCTTCACGCTCGGGGATGGAGCCTGCGTCGTGGCACAGGCGTTGAGTGGCAGATGAGCCCCCCACGCCCTCGCTATGTGTTCAAAGAAGAGGACAGGCAGCGCACCGCCAACGAGGTACACAGAGTGCTTGCGGGCAGCCTCTTGCAGCATGGCCGCCGAAGGCCCGCCTGGGACTGCCTCTGCATACGTCGGGAAAGAGTCGTTCGAGTAGGGGCAGTTGAAGCACTCCTGCACGACTTGAGGTGAGCGCGATCTGTGTTAGCCGCAGATGCAAAAGCATCAGATTAGAGTGGATGGGGCGACAGGGAAGGGAGATGAGTCGAGCTCCATTCGCCACTGCCTGTGCAATGAGGTCGCGAGCACGGGCAAGGTTGGCCTCCTTGTCCGCCCCCACCAACAGCTGCAGCCCTGCGAACCTGAACCTCTTCGCCGCAGCCGCCATGCTCTCCTCTTTCTTGGCAAAAAATAGAAATAAAATCGCTGCA